AGGCCAATTTGGCCTTACCTTCCAATTGACCGCGGAACTGGACGTTGCTCGAGATTTCGACGCCAAGCATTCTGATACTAGCTGTGGCAGGTAGGGGAGTGTTCTCGAAATGAGGAGTCACGACAAATGGGGGATTTTTAGCGGTTAACGCGCAAACTTGTGTCTTTTTGGGGTTGAATTGGACTAGGTTTAGTCGACCCCAGTCTGAGACTTTGGTTAACAAAGTCTCGACCTCAGACACAAGCTTGTTCCGACACTCGTAGACGTTTTCCCGAGAAATGTTAGCTCGGCCAGTGTACGAGACATCCACAGTGCTATCGTCTGCATAACAATGGACGTTGCTGATTTGCAACATGTCATTGATATGCAGAAGAAACAGAGTAGGAGACAGTACGCAGCCTTGTGGAACACCAGCATTGACAAATTTAGGATCGGAGCATGCACCGTCGACGACGACCTTGATGCTCCGATCTGCCAAAAAGTTGGTGATCCAATTGCATAATTTCTCGGGCAGCCCATAGGAAGGCAGCTTCGAAAGAAGCGCTTTGTGCCATACCCGATCAAAGGCCTTCGCTATGTCCAGACTGGCTGCAAGCGCCTCCCCCTTGCTCTCAACTGCTTCTGCCCATCGATGTGTAAGGTAGACCAGAAGATCACCGGCTGAGCGACCCCGACGAAATCCATACTGGCGGTCGCTAATCAGCCGGTGCTCCTCTAGGTACCGCAGGAGCTGGCCGTTGATAACAGACTCCATTATCTTGGAGAACAAGGAGGTGATGGCTATTGGCCTGTAATTGGACGGATCAGAGCGGTTGCCTTTTTTAGGGATCGGGTGCACTAACGCGGCCTTCCATGATTTCGGGACTACGCCTAAAGTATAGGAGTGCCGGAAGAGACGCGTTAAAATCGGCGCCAACTCTGGAGCACATGTCTGTAACACGATCGGAGGGATGCCATCAGGCCCACTCGACTTGTGAATGTCCAAGGAAAGAAGTGCTTTGCGAACTGCACTTTGCCGGAATTTTACCTCCGGCATCGTAACGTCGCACTGGGGGATTGATGGTGGTGAGTTTCCTCGGTCATCCAAAGTCGAGTTGGACGCAAAGAGAGAGCCCAGAAGATCGGCTTTCTCCTTCGCGGCATGGGCCAACGAATCATCCTCCGTGTGCAGGGGTGGAAAAGATGGCTTACAGAAGTTCCCTAAGACAGCTTTGGCGAGAGACCAAAACGCACGTGTTCCCGATGGGAGACGCGCCAATCTCTCGCCAATTCTGCAAATGTGCTCCAACTTCGCTTTAGCAATAACGCTTTTGAAGGACCTAGAAGCAGAGTTATACTCCTTTTTTAATGCGCTGGTCTTTACATCACTAGACGCCGAAGCTTCAGCCCAGGCTCGGTAGCATTCCCACTTTCGGCGTAATGCCGTCTTGCAGGAACGACCAAACCAAGGCTGGGATTTGCCACCGATGGGTATTGCAGTCTACTGCCATATTATTAATACATCGTATTCTATTTTTATATTCATATTTTGATTTAAGTTTATATTTTTTTTCTCTGTAACATCTTGGTTTATACACATTTATTTACGCTTGTGGACGCCGAGTGTTCAAAATTCGACCATAATTAATTTAAATTATAAGTTTCATCTATTCTCAAATAAAAATCACAATGAACAAAAGAGAATATAATTATGTGCGTACGTGTCAAATACATGGTAGTGTGTGTAATGTTGTCTATATTGATTTAATGAATTTTTATTCATAATTAAAAAAAAATATATTAGCATTCTGCACTCCTTCTCTATACAAACTATACAAAATTTGTGGGAATGAAATAAGTGGGAAGTTTTATCAATTTTCGTCAAAAGGGGTACAAAGTTTTTGCCTCACTTATTAATGTATAGATATCATTTTTTTTATTTATTTATACTTTATAAATAAAAAAATGATAGCAACCTTTAAATAAAAATGAATACAAAGGGCGAACTTAATGCATTTTGGCATTCTCTCCCAGTCATTATTTGCCTGATACCATCCGTAAGTAGGACTTTGACTGGCATTGACATACATTAAATATGTAATTGTAGCTTGTAAATAAACACGACCGGCTGTATATTAGCCAAGTCACCATTTGTAACAGTGCTAACTCATATTTGAGTTCACCCATTTGTCTTAAGTACATACCAAATAACAAAGGGCATAAACGTTTCAGGTCACACCGTATAACTCTAAAAGCTCTTTGCTACGAACGCCTTACTGCCTGGCACTCCATAAGTGTCAGTGTTATTGATTACTATTCGGCGGAAAAGTCACTCCGTCGCCTTTACCCGCAGCTAATATTATTATCTATTGTGGGCTAATGTTCGCACGTACGTCAGTCTATTGTATGTCCTCGCAAGTTTTGAACACATTTAACTGCTACGTCATATGAAGGTTCAAGGATAAACAGAATCCGAATCGGCTATTAAACGTTATCAAGAATTTCTGTCAGTTTATTGTATGCCCTCGCAAGTTTTGAACACATTTAACTGCTACGTCATATGAAGGTTCAAGGATAAACAGAATCCGAATCGGCTATTAAACGTTATTAAGAATTTCTGTCAGCCTATTGTATGCCCCCGCAAGTTTTGAACACATTTAACTACTACGTTATATGAAGGTTCAAGGATAAACAGAATCCGAATCGGCTATTAAACGTTATTAAGAATTTCTGTCAGTTTATTGTATGCCCTCGCAAGTTTTGAACACATTTAACTGCTACGTCATATGAAGGTTCAAGGACAAACAGAATCCGAATCGGCTATTAAACGCTATTAAGAGTTTCTGGTATGCTTTTATTTCTAGCTACAGCATAACTTGAACAGTATATCGACCCGGCTACACCCACGTGCAATTCAGTTCTTACGATCCATTCTACGAACAAGAATTAGGGACTGACGCGTATAATTTTTTCCATGGAAAATTATAAATAGTTGCAGATAATATATACCGAATTATTCAAACTTCATCCACGAAAGCAGACTGAGGGTATGATCAAAATAAAAAATATATAGTGGCTTACCAGTGACTTAGTTAATCGATTAACTGGAAAGGACTCGTGACGTTCGATTGGAACATGTTTATTAGGCACTATACTTATTATTCGTAAAAGTGTTTCACGTAAACAGGGCCCCTTCCATACATTTCATCGGTTACGAAATTGATATTGATTACAATATCGTGACAAGTTAATCTATCACTCGGGTTCTATTTATTACCAAATTGTATTTGCGTTGGGCCGCTGTATGCCAAATTTACGTTGGATGTGATTTTCTACTTTTCCTTTTATTTTTCATTTTAATTAATAAAAATAATTATAACAATTACGACGGAAGCTTCTAACAGATTCTAAACTAGTCAATTTGTTAAATAAAATACGATGGTGATGGTAAACTAGCCTGGTATATATGACTCTTTCGTGTATGTTACATTAATCAAAGGTTATTTATTACTGGGAAAGGTATTGAGCACCGAATTTAATGCTTCTTGGTTCAAGTTCTAGTTCAATATTGCCATTTAAAATTTTAAATAAGTCATGTATTCAATTTAAAGAAGTCATGTAAATAGCAAAACCTTTCGATTATTTTTGTCACCCCTTTAGTAAAATATGACAGATTTTGCACTGCTATCCATTTTTGATCACTTTGTGTATAAGTGTTCTATTTTTTGACGCAAAATATTCGTAGGATGGCATTGCAAGAAGAATGTAAAGTATTTAACTTTTAGCCGGTTTAGTTTCCATGAAAACTTTGTTATGAGTAGACTCACATTAAATATTCAGTAATGAAGGTTATGAAGATACTAGTGACCCAAGGGAACTTTTTATACACTAAAGCCGTCGATAAAATTTAATTAAAACGAGTCACATCCAAAGTTCTTACTGAAAAGTTAATAAATTAAAAAACACATTTTAAATATGTATATTTTTAACCAAGATTTCTTCAGTTTTCCAACCATTGTTTTTCGTCATTGGCTACAGAGGTAATCTATCTTAGGTAGGTATATAGGAATCTATCTTATTGTAAGAACTCTAAAATCATTATATAACTTACTGCACCATCTTTCATCTCTAAGCGATTTGTCAATAAACGACATTGTCATACGAGTACATTTTAGAAAAACAACTTTTTGTTTTTGATGAATGTTATGAACTGTTATGTTAACAACAATTTTTATTCACATGTCGTTAGCGGCGAAAATAAACTTTAGCGTTTATATAAATATTTTTGCCTTAGATTAAAAAAAATACCTTTAAGATATAATAATTTTTTTTTTTTTATGGAGAAAAGGGGCAAACGAGCAGGAGGCTCACCTGATGGTAAGTGATTACCGCCGCCCATGAACACCTGCAACACCCGAGGGCTCACAAATGCGTTGCCGGCCTTTATAATATTATGTGATGGTGTGGTACAAGTTTCTTTTTCCCGGAATTTCTCTATATGATTTAATGATATCGCCAATTTTCATTGCAGTCCTCTTTGACAAAGATGAACAGATGTTTGTTGCAAGGTGCAGTTTTTTCAGTTTTAGATTATTTTACAGATAGAGTATAGATGTAAAACAGGCGACTCCATTTTAACTGTCTCGTTTATTACAAATATTATATCTACATCCATTCACCAATATCATAATTTAGGCTTTTCGCCTCTTTCTCTTAATAGGACGCAGGGTGTAGTGTCTACTTAGAATCAAACTGCATTGGGATTGCCAGGGTACCTTTTGCCTAATACATTATTAATAGCTTATAAGTTAAGCAAGGAGTATATCTTGTTAACATTTAAACTATCTATCTACCATCTATCAACCTAACTATCCATTGATTAATCCCATCTAAGTAAACACGCTAAGCTGCCGCTTTACATAATAAAGGATAAAAAAAATAACAGAGTATTCCCTTTGTAAAATTTTCAAATTTATTGAATAACAAATCGCGTCCCACTCGTCACGGGCGCGTTGCGTCACATGAACACGTCGTCGGCGGGCGCGCGGTCATCTTCAAAGGTCACGGTGCGGTCACGCCTGGAGCCGCTCAGGTTGAGCTCGCTGAGGCTCCTAGGGGCCGGGCCGGCCGAGCGCCTCGCTGGTATACCGCGAACGAAGCCCTCCTCGCCCAGCGCGGAGGACTTCCTGCGCGGCAGGCTGCTGAACTTGGTCGGGTTCGAGCCGTCGATGCGGAAGGAGACCTGCGGCCGTCTGTCCGGCCGGGGCGCGCCTGACGCCGACGGCGCACACTCGGCCGCGGCCATACGTCAGGAGGGCGCCGGCGGTAGCTTCTCGTCGGAGCACTCCGCGTGGACGGCGCGCGATTTGCCGCCAGCGCAAAGCGACGCGACCCCTCTCAAAGCGGAGCTAGTGTCCTCCTGTATCAGGTTGAAGCACATGGCCACAACAACGATCCCCACTAATATGTACACGCAACACACGCCGACGGCCACGTCCTCCGCTTTGGCGGACACCGTCGCCGCGTAGAGGCCCGGCTTCAAGTCCCCGAAGCCGATGGTGGCTAGGCTCGAGAACGAGAAGTAGCAGCCGTCGACCAGGTCCCACTTCTCGGTGGTGTGGAAGACGAATGTACCGATCACTATGTACACCGCTATGACGAACAGACTAAGCACTATCGGCACTCGCGTATGGTCGCGACATGTCCAATGGTAGCCGCCACTGAAACTGTCCAGATTTAGTGCCGCCTGAAACGGCGTCGGTTTTTGCCTATCGTAAATCTTGTCCCTTTTATCACACTCCACGTATTGTCCGCACTCTAGAACCGGTAGCGAATAACGGCTCAGGCACTCCGCTTTCGTGTGAAAGTTGTGGCTCTTCAATCTGGTGGGGCATATCTTTGAATACAGGATACGGAAGGTTTCTAGCTAGCGCCTCTCCAATTGTTGACAAGTACAGCATGATGATAGGTATCCCTATACATGCGTATGCCACCGCCACAATTTTCCCGACCGACGACTTCGGTGTGACGTTGCCATGACCTGAGGAAATAATGATATGCATTAAGGGTAATTCTAATGCTGTTGGTTTCAGCGTCGAGGATTGTGGGTTCGATTCCCAAGACAAGTTTTTGTATGGCGCACAGATAATTGTTACGTACCTGGGTGTTTATTTTGTACGGAGGGTTGACGTGATGCCGATCGTAACAACAGGCAAAACCGCTTACAACATGATACACATTTTGTGGCGCCCCTACCTAGATGGGATAACGGCAGGAGAATGATGATGAAGGGTAATTCTAATCTGTTTATAACTAATATGGAGAGCTAACTCTATTATTTACCGATAATCGGTACGCAAAGATAGAGGCACAAGTAATTTCAGCAAGGGTCTTACGTCACCAGGTAAGACAGAGAACAATATGATGAGCCGACTTACCTTTTGTATTTAAGCCATTGTCAGAAAATGACGTCAATAATGCAATAGCTCACTTAGCTATCGTGCATGTGTTACTATGTATTGTGAGTTTTAATACATGTTATTCTAGTCTAAAGCAATAGATGCAACGTTTTTGTATTAAAATGTGGTGTACTGGCAGAAATAGTGCTATCGCTTGTAAGATTTTATTTATACTAAATAAAAGCTATATATATCGTCTTTTAAATCGTTACTGAAAAGACTAATGAAGATGGAAATAGCTAAAACTACACAGGTTTTACTGAACTCATATGTTACTCGGGGTAAGCCTTGTTTCTCACACTAAAAATGCTTAAAAAAAGACGAAAAAAGGATAATTCCGAAAACTGTTGTCTACCACTGCGATCGCATTCCATCACTATTAGTTGGCCGCCCCTAACTGGAATTTTTAATTACATTTGCGCAAGCCGTAATGGATTAATTTCAAAGTAAAATTTTTCTTATTAGCAATTGTTTCGTACAGAAAACGTTATTTAATATTATTTCGTTTAGAAATCTAAAATGGCACAATTTGGAAGTAAAATATTTTAATAATGTTTACTAAATCCTTCTTTTTTCATTATGCATTAAATTTAGCACTCCAAATTTGAATCCAACGTCCGTTTTTGCAACAACCCTCGCAATACCTTTTACCACTTGACCATTGTCATTTACGGCTAACGTTAATACGTTTTGGCCAACCCCATTGCTTTTTTTTCCTTGCTCCAAATTAAATTTTATTTATTTTTTTTTTTTTTTTTTTTTGAAAAAACATTGCCCTTACTTTAGGAACATAATCCTGTGTTGTAAGGACGTTTTACAAACATAAATTTCACGTGGATAAACACCCAGATACGGAACAACTATTTGTGGGTCACACAAATAGCTGTCCCGTGTGGGAATCGAACCCACGACCCCCGACGCCGAAGCCGATACCTTAGCAACTGCGCTACGGAGTCATCAAATATTAAGTCAGTTCCTCTACCGAAACTGTGGATAAAAGGAAATCTTAGCCGTGTCAGGCCAGAAGATTTTCTACACCGGGCCCGGGTCTATGACGGCAACTGAAGATAGTCCAGGTCAGTGCTTGCCAGCCTTTATATTTCTTAACAGCAATGTTTATGACTTTTACTATCGACATTTTTACTGTAACATTTGAATAGTGTTGTACACTTACCAATGGTCGTTATGAGCGTTAGCGCGTAAAGGAAACTGCTGGAGAACGTCCAGCGGTATTCAGCACCGTGGTCGTAATGAGGCCCCTCGGAGCCGCGCATGGAGCGCAGCAGCACCTTCTGGAAGTCCATCAGCTCTTTCGCCGCGAGCTTGGTCCAGTTCTCTTTGTACAGGATGTTCAGGTCCTCCGTTATGGACCACAGGCGCTCGACGGTTTTGGAACGCAGCTCGCCGCCGCCCTGCTGGGTGGGGTTCGGCTTGGACGCGGCGACTGACGTCTCCTCAGCCGTTGCGCCGCCCTCGATTGCCAGGAATAGGAACCCGCCTAGGAGGTTGTACGTCAGTACGAGGAAACATATCGCCAGGCAAGTGAGCGGCGACGCGCGCCTTTTGTGGGCGCATCGGCAACAGAACAGCCTGGAGTCCTCCTTCTTAGTGAAGCAACACTTGGGCTCGTCGATGAAGCCCGCCTGATGGCAGAACGCGCGCTTCGTGGAGTCACGGCCGCCGTCGTCTATCATTGTGGAATCGGCACGGTCCCTTTCATCGTACTTTGTACTTCTTGTGATGCCTCCGCTTCTTTATTCTGAACATTCTAGATTGTGCCCTACGCCGTGAGTGTTTCGGTATTCCGCTGCACTCTCCTGCAACAAGAGAAGGTCATAAATTGGAGTTGTAATCCTTGTGGTCGGAGCTGGTAAATTTTTACGGGGATATTATTCTATGGTTTTATACTTTTCTTTGTTTTTCTGTGTTCAGCAACGGAATCAAACTGACTGAAATTGTACAGAAGGTTATTATGATTGTTTTTCTGAGTTACCGCTCAGAAAAACAATCATAATAACCTTCTTGCTATGAGAATTTAAAAAAACTTTCGAGTACATCGTACCTCATCATCATGAACATTATTTTTTATATAAAGCAGTAATAGTAAAAAGCTCAACTTTTTTCATTTGTTAAAAAGTATTATGCCATTCGTGTGACAAATGCTTTACAACCTGAAAATATCAAGTACATACCGCAAAGAAAAGCAAACAGGGCTCTATTTTACTCCTTATCCAATAGGACGTAAAACAAAATAGCCTCTTTCTCCCCATAAGCCACTTTCCAGTTTGGTGCGTTCATAAAATGTCCCATCGACTCGGCAAATGAGTTTACTTCCTCCATTGCGAGAATATACCGAAAATTCTCGAATGTGTAAAGAGAGGTAGCGAAAGTCGACAAACGATCGCTTTATACGTTAAAAGAAAAACTCGGTTCCCCGTGGGAGGTACAGGCTAACACGCGGATCCGACACATGTTAGATAAACTTTGTAAATTGCTTTTGTGCCCAATAAATTGAACCTAATAGAACTCTTTCGTACAACAAGAGCGCTGCCGCGACGCAACGGCAAAGTTCGAGCAGAAATTTATATGAACATTTACAAAACAGAACGGCGGGTCTTTGGACTTTTTTTGAACGAATTTATTTCCTGAAGCTATCTATTCGCCTTAACGTTACACACACAGTTAGTAGCATAGATCGAACTGATTCGCACTACGGAATATACCTAAAAGGTCCATTAGTTTTTTTGTTTCACTCCAAACGGCAAAAACAAACAAAAACCTTGTCTTGCACGTAAAAGCAGTGGATGCCCTGTTCATTTTCGATTTCTTTTTTTTTTTCTCCTAAAAACATTTACTTTTTAAACAATCCTTACCATAGAAACATTGCCCGTACTTTAGGATAACATTATCATGTGTTGTAAGGACGTTTTACAAACATAAATTTGACGTGGACAAACAGCCAGATGCGAAACAACTGTATTTGGGTTGCACAAATAGCTGTCCCGTGTGGGAATCGAACCCACGGCCGCCAATGCCTTGGCAACTGCGCCACGGAGTCATCAAAAGACGAGGAAGACCATCGTGTAAATAAAAATGTTCTTTCATCGAATTTTATCTCAAAATTTCATTAATACGGAAAACAGAATGTATACAGCAGTCATTAGCAGGTTATTGAAAATCGGAGTTAGGAATCGAATAATTGTTTTTACAGACAAACTTTTGGGGAAGTCTGCACTGCAGTCAACCCTCTGCGGCTAATAATGCTTTTATTACGGAAAAGTTTTAAAGATTAAGCAAAAGACAAACTTGTGAATGAAAGAAGAGAAAACTTTTAAACGAGTTCTCAAATTTTACTGCCTTTATCTAAAACCGGAGTGTTTATGGGAATTGTTCATAACTTCAGTCTCAATTTTATCATGTGTTGTTAAAATTCAAATAAAAATACGTTAGGTGATCCTTCAGGAAATTACCTTATATTATCCCGGCCACTGCAATCATATTCTGGGATAATTGAAGCAATTTCATCCTCGACGTGTGATAAGGGATCCAGACATGGCGACCACATTTATCAAGAAATTTAGTTGTAATTAAAATAAAATTTTCAATGAACACGTACGACTATGTAATAATATTAATCATTTCTAAAATCTGACCGCTAAGCCAAACATGTTAAAAAGACATGCATGTTTTACTGTGGTAGAGCCACGCAACACGCCGTTGCACGAATGGGCAGGTCCGTCAGGGTAAGTATACCTCACAGAAGACCGGCGTGAAGTCGTATTATACTTCTGCTTTTCGTCTCGTGAGTGAGGTAGCCGGGCCCACTTTATGATAAGGCGGCAATGTATCTGCTTACGGGTGTTACAAATATCAATGGGCTTCGATTATTACTTAACATGAGGTGGACCGCTAGATTATTTGCCAACATCTAAACACAACAAACACATAAAAAAAGTTTTTTTTTTTCAATTTGGATGTATAAATGCAAGTACCGATCGAGCCGAGGTCCGGCCCTCTCGGGCACCCTCGAATCGGAATGCTAAACGCGTGCTGAGTGACAGCCTTGAGCCTGATCACTCCATGGAGCGCCCGCCAAAGTGCCCTAAGAGCTTGGCGGCCTCTCAAACCGGTGATAATAATAGCGTGACGGCCCGAGCCGAGGCTCCCCCGGGAACCCTCGAGCTTAGTCACCATAACGCGTAATAATAGTACGCAGAGGTTCAGGCTAGGCGCCTCGTGCGCCAGGCCACCTCAAGTCCGTCGGATCTGTAAAGGCCCCTAAGGCCAACAGTGGCTCATCCAGCCCAAAAAAAAAAAAAAAAAAAAAAAAAAATCTTCTTCGTACAATGCAAAATTTGTGTAGCGACGGCTTTAAAAAGTCTTTAATACTTTACAAAATGTATTTTGTCCACCGATTATATTGAAACAAATTTATAAATATACAAAAACATTAACTCAAACACAAAAAAAGTAAACAATAGAAACTAATTAATGAAACAAAACACCGATCACTTTAACGACACAACGGACCGCCGTTAAACATAATTACGTCTAAAGTTTCATAACTTAACTACACCACTTCCTAGTGTGTTGTTAACAAGTTTGACAAACTGGAGCGCAAGTTCCCTGTCGTCTCGTAACAAACAGTGGGTGTAATTAGGCACGTTCGGGTGGGGCGGTGTACGTGACCCATAATTTAGCGTCTTCCGGCACTCGAGCCTCTTGAGTCGGGCTATCGCTCGCAACGCGGCAAAGTAGCCGCCGCTTAGGCCATTTAGCCCTCTTGACACTTCGAGTGAAAACTCAAAAAGTATTCCCCTTATGTGCGAAGGTGGCCCGTGGGCATCTGCAACGCGGTAGAGTTGCAGATACGAAAGTGGGTGACGAACCCCACTCATCAGACGACTATCTATGATACTTCCAATTCACGCCGGTATATTATTACGAGGTCGAGTAACTTACCATGACTAGCCATTCGCGCAACAACAACTTTGTGACAGTTCAGTTTCTTTTATGCTTCAGCTCTATTACGACAAAAGGGATCAAGAAATAATAGTTTCGATACGCAAATATCTTCATAGCTCCTTTAAGAAGGTCGGTCTTGTTGTTTATTAAAAACTAGCGTTTCGCCCTCGACTCGGCCCGCATTTACTACATTTTATGTCGTGCTTTTAAAAGTAGCCTATAGCCTTCCCCAATAAATGGGCTATCCAACAGTGCAAGAATTTTTCAAGTCAAACCAGTAGTCCCTGAGATTAGCGAGTTCAAACAAACAAATTCTTCAGTTTTATAATATTAGCATAGATATCCTCTTATTTTTGTCCATGCAATCACTACTAAAAATACTGTCCAGTGCGGTTCAGGTCGATATCGGCCCGTCGCTTTCCCTGGTTCCGGGCTTATTTTCTGTTTAGCAAATCTAGAGGCAGATCGAATGAAAGAAGTTGGGTTCAAGGTCATTCTAACAGTAGTACTTTCTGACGAGAAAGACCCGCCATGCACTGGCGGAAATATCGTTGAGGGCGCATTTCGACACGCCGCCGCACCAGATGATGCTTTTATTTGCCGCTACCATATGACAGATGACAGATGATATAGTTATGTGGTCGACGCACATTGAAAGTGTCAAAACTGTTCATTTTTAGGGTTCCGCACCCAATCCTATAACTAAAATTCTGCTGTCTTTCTGTCCATCTGCCACCAGGCTGTATCTCACGTACCGTGATAGTTGAAATTTTCACAGATGATCTTTTTCTGTTTCCGCTATAACAACAAATAACCCTTCGTGCGCAAGTCCGCTCGCACTTGGCTGTTCTTTTTTTCCATCCTTGCATCTAATTAAGTACACTTCAAGCCATTTCAAGTTTTCCGTTCTATATAAGTCACTTAAAGTCTTACTTCTGTTACTTATAATTTAACATCGAAACTTAGTCATTGCTCCTTGTATAAGATTTCGGAAATTTTTACGGTCACAGATGAACTTTTCCGAACTTTCGAATAATAAGCACTTTACTCGAAAAGTTTTTCTATTACAATCTGCGGTAATACCAAATATTCCTTGGGGAAAAAGGTCTAAATCAGCAGTTATTCCTAAGTCATTAACGCCTTTTTTCTTTTGAAAGAATATTTAACCACTTAATAATAAAATGTACATACACAACTACTAAATAACAAAATTTTTACCTAATGAATACTTAACAAATGCTAGAAGACGATGAGATACACACTTATCCCGATTGAAAGACTTAAAGGCGGGTGAACTTGTATGCAGCAATGTAATTCAAACGATACATTCGCTTCCAAGACATGTACCCGTATTTACATAAACAGACTGGAAGATAATCCTACTTTCTATGGATACAAGAAATGTGAACTCTCCTTTTCTCCTTTCACTGAAAGACTAATTATTACGCCATCATTTATTTTTAAAAGAGACTAATATCTCACATCGTATATACATATTTTATGAGGGTCTACTCTATATTGGTATCTTTTAACTTCTGATGATAATAACCACAATCATCCCAGTAAGTGCTCATCATGTGATATTCGTCGTCCTCGTTAAAGATACGGGCCAACTTATATTGGTGCTTATGTGCTTTAGGTCCTTTAGTAGAATAATAAGAATTATTCCGCGGTACTAAGGGGGGAAAATGTTCATTATCTGCGTCAATTAAGTACCGGGGAAACGCGT